CCATTTGACGTACGTGGCGCAGCACGGGGAAATCTGCACTTCTTCTCACCAAGATTCTGGGAGAAGAACACACCCACCCACCCACACACTAGGCCACATCAGTAACTGCCTCCCCATTCCCGCCTACATCTTGGATGGCCATAGTTGTCTCCACCAGTGTCTCCACGGTGTCTCCACCAGTGGACTGTCAGCTCCCTGAGGATAGGCATTGTGGCTGCCTTTCTTTGTAGTGCCAGCAGTTAGCACAGGGCCAGGTACCCAGTAGGTGCTTAATACATGTTTGTGGATTGACCAAATTGTTCCGACATCAATCTGTTGCTTCCTAACAGGTTGTAGATTCCAAGTCCTGTAGTTGACAGGAGACAGTGTCCTGGGCTCAGAAGAGTTGGAAGATTTGGGTGTAAGTTCCAAGAGCTCTAGCACTGATCAATGAGGGCCAGTCTTATAGCAAAACCAAAGTGGCCTCTCTTGGATCCAAGCAAAATAAATACAGCAGACCTGCAAAACTGTGCTCTCATGCCTCCCCCAAAGTCTTCTTCTTTCTGGGCTAAACAGCCCCAGTTATTTGACCTAATTTCATGTGATGAACTTGCCGGCTGTGTCCCCAACTAACACCTCTCTTATGGATGAGCCCCGGCTCATCTGCGTCTGTTGTCAATCACATCTATGGGATACAATGTCAGGCACCCCTCTCCCTTTTTAAAGTTCATATTAATTTTTTCAATGAACAAATCTGGTTTCTCTCCCCCTGACTTCCTCCTATGGAAAAAGAAAACCAAACAAAACCCTTGTAACAGATGTGCCAAGTCAAACAAAATGAATCCTTTACAATAGCCACGTCCAAAAACTATATGGCTCATTCTGCATTCTCGGTCCACGACCTCTCTACCGGGAGAGAAGTCTCAAGCATCATGACTGGTCCTCAGGAATCCTGGTTGTCATTGCATTGATAAGATTCCTTAAGATGCCTTTACAGTGTTGTTACTGTATAACTTCTTTTTTTGCATCATTCATACAAGCCTTCTCAGTTTTCTCTGAAATCATCACTTCTTACAGCACAATAGTATTCTCTTCCCTGTCATCCTTATACCATGATGTCCCCCAAATGATGGGCAGGCACCCCTTTGGTTTCTAGTATTTTGACACCAGAAAAGGGTTGCCTCTTGAGAATCACCATGCCAGCTGCCCCCTTCACCCTTGTCATTCCCTCCTCCTGACCGGCCCACTCCCCTCCCCACCTCTAGTGATGGTACAAGTAGCAGATGGCCGCCATGTTCAATGAGCTTGACTCCCAAGAAGACTCGAGAAGGCCTCTGCTTTCTGACTGACTGGGAGGACTAAGCACCAGGAGTTTTCAACTGTGTGAGGCGCCCCCTGGTAGAAAGGGAAGGACAGGAAAATCTGATTATCCATTTCTGCCACACTTGAGAAAACTGGCAGGTGCAGGGCTCTACCTCCTGGAGACCATCAGTGCAGCCCCACTGGCCTTTGTCCACCCACACTACAGGGAGCAGGGTAAAAGCCGGGAAGCAATCAACCAAATCTCTGCACTGTCATCACTTATGCTAACCCGGCTTGGCCCCTTCTGTCCGTGCTTGACTCCTGTGACCCAGCTCCTCCCAGCTTGAGTTCCTCGGTCCAGAGACGATCAAAGCTCCTAGCAAGGATGCTTCCTCTTATTTGTGTCATGGACCCTTTCGGCACTCTGGTGAAGCCCAAGGATCCCTTCTCAGAATAAAGTTTTTAAATATATGATTGCCAAAGAAACCAGTTATATTGAAATGCAGTTATCAAAATATTAAAGGAACAATTTGCGAAATGGTAATATGTCTGATGGCAGATTTAATAATTTTAAAGTAATTTAAAAGGCATAATGGGCCCAAACACTGTTTCGAGATATCTGTGACAAAAGCAACATTATACAAAGAGATCTGTGATTTCCTTTGGTCACAGAGTCAGAAGTCATCACTAACCCTTCTGGTTTGTTGCCTAGATTTATAATAGAAGGAGGCACTAAATTATAATTAGAGGCTAGGGAAGATAAAGAGGCAAAACGTTTTCCCATCCAAGAGCAAAGAATCCCCTGAAATCTCTCCACGGGCCCCTTGCAGCTCCCCAGGCTTAGAGGGGCCTTGGAGATTATCTAGAGCCACTCATTCATCGACCAATGAAGGGGCTGAGGCCTAACCTGGGACTTGAACCCAGGTCTCCTCTCTGACTCATGTTAACTGGTTTAACCATGCCCACCTCTATTCTGATAGGCCTCTCGCCTTGTGCTTCTTAGGTTTCTGGTCTGGTCGTGCTGGGACAGTGACCTGAAACACCTTCTTGGAAACCTCGGCTGCCTGCCCCGTACCAATTTCCCAGACCGTTAGGCCTACTTAAAACCACACTGGTCACCTGGTGTTGCCTACCTGTATTGACTGAAGCCCTCTCATGGGTACTGTTCACCTGGCTTTAAAGTTACCTACGCCCTCATCCATGACACTGATGAGCCTTCAGGACATGACCCTGTATTACCACAACCCGTGATACTTGTAAGATCTCTCTAGAGCATCACTTTTCACCATATGCCCCAACAAGTTCCAATACATGACCTAAATATGAAAGATCCTATCATTAAAAATTAGAGGAGATAAAAAATGGCTCTAAACAAATTCTGAAGCAGCGTTAAAAATTAGAGAATGAAAGAAGGCATAATTCTGGCTAGGGTAAAATTTCTTAGCTGAATAAGGGACAGAGGTGATGAGGAAAGATGAAATAGACAGTTTCAATTATATAAAACTGTAAAAGCCTTTATGCAAACAAAATCAATGCAGCCATAAGAAGAAGAAAAGTAGTCAAATGAGAAAAATCATCACAGCAAATATCTCCGATAAAAGTCTGACATGCAAACAGCATATAAGAAGCCTATCCCCTTTCTTATCTTTCTCGTCTTCTCATACTTCACTCTCCTTTCAGAGATACAAGACTACCTGCTGTTCCTCAGACTCAACATTCCATCTCCCCCAATTCTATACCTTCTTTCCCCCCCAAATTTTATTCAATATGAAACATATCTCTACAGTTTTAATTCTATACCTTCTCACTGGCATCTGTCTCCCACACCTGGAATAAGCTCTCTTCTCACTTTTATCTTCCGGCTTCCTTGGCCTCTTTCAAGATTCGTCTCCAACCCCACCTTCTGCAAGAGGCCTTTTTTGCCCTCCACCCCATAACCCCACTAGTGACTTTCCAGCTACATGGTACATGTTATATTACAGAACTGTTTGCATGGTGTCTCAAAATGAAGGATTCAGAGAAACTTGAGAAGTTCTGTATGAACTGGTTCAGATAGAAGTGAACAGAACTAGGATAATAACTTCAAGATGACCACAATAATGTCAACGTAAACAACAGACAAGGAGATTTCAGAATTCTCATCAATGAACTGACCTGTCCTGACTTCAGAAAACTAGCAGGAAAGTCTGCCTTCTGACTCTCAGCAAACGGTGGTGAACCACAGGCGTAGAATTAGGCATGTTTTCAGATATGGCCAATATGCTGATTTACTGTGCATCTCTCTGTTACACGGGGAGGTCCTATGGGTGGTGGGGTGAGGAGTTATTGGGAAGTGACGATGTTATAAAAAAAATCAATAAATCATTCAAAGCAAAAGAACACTTGGTCTATTCTGGCCTATTTCAGTCTGGTATCCAAGTCCTAGTATCCCAGACAGGGATGTTGCTCTAAGAGAGAAGAAATCCCTTTTCACCATAATCGCAACAGAAAGGGAAGCCTGTAACTTGCTATAATAGTCCCCACTGAAACACACATCATTTTCCTACCCAAAAAACAGGTTCATCCCTAAAGAATTCAGTTAGGACCTCGCTCACCCTGCCACAAGCAAATGGGTCATAAGAAGGAGAAATTTCTGGAGGACAGGGGCATGAGGAAGAAGTGGGCCAATCACTCTTCAGCTACCGGCCAGATCCCCAAGAGCCAATTCCTGGGAGTTGTTCAAATTCCTCTGCTATCTTAAAATGCTGATGTATTAAGAAGGGCTTGAAATAAGAGGCCACGAGCTGGGGCTTGGGAATGTCAGAATCACAGAATCTGAGAATTCAAAGGGACTTACGAGGTCATGGAGACCAAGGCCTGGCAGAAGCAAAGCCCCCCCCATGAGTGGTCAATCCATTTCTGACCTGGGAATGGACGAGCTCCCAAGGAAGTCCATTAGACTTCTGGATACCCTGATTGTTGGCAAGGTTTTTTAAAATCTCTTTACATTCAACTGATAATCTATAGTTCTCTAGTTTCTACCCATGATTCCTAGGTCTGTCCACTGGGGAGAAGCAGAAAAAGCCTAATTCCTTTTACGCATTACAGCCCTTCGGACGTATGAAAACAGTGACTCATTCCACCTCCACCGCCCCCGATCATCTCTTCTCCAGGCTAAAAAGTCTTAGCTCTTTCCACATAAGGCATGATTTTCAGCCTTTTTATTGTTCTGGCCCGTCATCTTATGGACAATCCATCCAAATTTCAGCCTTTTCCCTAAAATGTAACACTCAGACCTAAACACAACATTCCAGATGCAGTCTGACCAAAGCAAAGGTCTGACCAGACCTTCTACTTTCTTGACACTATCTATGTGTCTCAATTCAGTTTAAGGTCCTGGTAGTTTAATCTGGCTTCCATTTCATAACAGGGGACTCATAATGACCTTGCAGTCCCCCAGACCCTCAGATCCTTTTTTTCCTCATGACAATAACTGTTGTACAGCCACTCTTCCCCCAGTGGCTTCCGACCTATATTCAAAGGTCTTTTTGGCCACCAAGAAGAACGTACACCTTTTTACTGCAACCATGGAAAACATCACAAATCATTCTACGAAAGAACCCAAAAGTGAGTGAATAACCATTTAATTACAGTACAAGTCAAGCAACATTCCACTTGAATTCTTGAGTCACGTGCAACTGTAGTTATTTTCTTTTAAAAATTAAACACAAAGGACTTACCGATAAGAGGCTGTCTGACACCGTGTTTTCAGGTTCAAATGGTCAAGGAAATCTGCAAGAACATTAAAACAAACATTCCATCGTAAGCAAGCCAAGTTTTCAAAAGTTGTACTTTCAATCGAAACAGTGTTAAGTGTTTCTACTTCTGGTTAAAGATTAGCAAAAACTGCATGGCCTACTTGAGCGTAAAGCTATTCCCTGGACACTTTCAATTTCCTGATGCTTGTTCATTTCCAGGTCACCTCTGTGAGCTCGCCTTTCAAGGAGTCAATGAACAACCATTTTTTAAAGAGCTTACTATGTGGCAGGCACTCTGCCAGGTGTGGGAGAAACAAAGGGGAGAATGAAACAAAACTTGCCCTCAGGGAACTTACCTATATTGGCAAACAATCTGTGCCCAGATAAGTCAACACCAGTCATTAGAAAAGCGTATTTGGGGTGGATGGTGGGAGGTAGCTCTCAATTTCTCCAAAACATATTAATTAGTGAGACAGTCAAAGCATTCATTAAGTGCTTAGTGTATGGCAGATACTGCTAAGATCTAGACCAGGAAAGACCCTCAAAGCTGCCATCCTACTGGTGAAAATAACTAAGAGCACAGGCTGCATACAAAATAGATGGAAGGCAATCTGGGAGGGGAGGGAAGGGATAGCGAAGGGCTTCCTGCAGAATGTGGGATTTAAACTGAGTCGCACAGGAAGGTAGGAAATGAAAAGGCACAGAAATTGTGAGGGGGCAAGGAAATGGAGGGCGATGTGCAAGGAACACGATGAGGATAGCAGAGTATACAGCCGGAAGCAAAGGTGGGAGGCCTGGAAAGGTAGGAAGGGGCCAAGTTGTGATTCTCTTTAGCTGAAAAATGGATGACTTCATGGTTGATCCTGGAGGAAACTGGGAGCCTCTGGAGCTCCCTGAGCAGGGGCTGATGTGGTCAGACCTGCACTTTGGAAATCATCTTGGCAGAGGACAGCAGTGGGGAGAGACTTCAGGCGGGGAGGGCTGTGGCACTAATACGAGTGAGAGAGGATGAAATGCCTAAACCAAGGCGGGGCAGCCACGTGAGACTAGCCACGCTGGGAAGGTAGAAGCAAGTGAGAGCAGGGAGTACAAGAAGGATGCCGAGGCTGACACCTCCAAGGCACCCAGGCAGGGACTGGGGAAGTTTGGAGGCAATGATGACAGCCCTGTTTTAGACACATCGGATGCCTTCAGGGCGTAGCAGGGGATTGAGAAGGTCTGAGGAGGCTAGCGCAGGAGAGATTGGAGAATAGGGCACAGGCCACTAGGGGGTGTAGTGGACAGATGGCAGGCTGGATCAGGGCCAGAAAGACCTGAGTTTGAATTCCACCTCTGACGTTCATTAGCTGTGTGACCTTGGGCAAATCCCATTAGATCCCTTTGCCTTTAGCTACATCATCTGTAAAAATACCTCACAGGGTTATTGTGAATATCAAGTGAAATAATACATTTCAAACCTTCCATAAGTGGTGGCTACTATTATTTTTACAACATAATTATTACAGCAAAACAGCACTGGTTTTTAAGTCGAGACCTAAGTTAGAAGGCCACCTCTGATGCTTCTCAGCTGGGTCAAGCCAGCCAATTTCTCTGAGGCTCAGTGTCCTCACCTGTCAAAATGGGCACGATCATTCATTCTTATGACCTCCTACATTGGCTACTATGAGGAAATTAGGTTCAATTCGACAAGCATTTGTTAAGCACCTACTGTGTGTTGTGGACACACTGTGGTAAGTACTGAAAACACAAAATCTCTTCCCTCAAGAAGAAGTACCTTGTATACTGAAAAGTGGGACAGATAGTTAAGTAAAAAATTTCATCCTCAAAATCCAGCAATTGTCAGGAGGAAGCCCCAATCTCTGTGGCCTTTTCTGTGCCAGGACATCAGCAAGGGTATCGATTAGAAAGGCCTGACTTGAATTCAACGATTTACTCAGCTTTAATCCAATCAGCACATGGGACTAAAGCAATCACACATTAAGGACACTTTTGGAAAGGTCTGACCACTTCCAGCAAGCAGGCCTGTTGTTTTTTTCTTTCCTGGAAACCTGTAATCAATTTGCAAAAGGCAAAAGAAAGAAAACAGCCAACACGCAGCTTCTCCAGCTCCTGGGGTTTCGAATGACTTCTAAGACAAGTATGTCTTAAAGACCGACCTATTTCAGGTGCCTTGGGACACCAGCCACACACATGATCATTTCCCTGGTCTGAGGGGATCGCTTCCCCTAGGACCTCCTTCCCACTCCCTGCCCCTAACAGACACACGGTCTCTCTCTATTTTCCTGTTCCCATCCAGGCCTACATAGAATCCCCTGAGGCAGCAGCTAGTGGCATTAACCTTGAAAGATGCATCTTCTCTCCCGGCAACAGGGGTGAGACAAAAACTCCCAGATCTGGGGCAGATGCTGACCTCTGGAGAGAGGCAAGGCACTCTTCTTGGCTCACGTCAGCGGCTGGACGACGTCCCAGGCCAGGCCTAATCACTAACAGATTAATGCAATTTGCTCTAACATCTCCCCCTACTATTACAGACAGAATGTAAGACACATCCCAAACCTCCCTGGAAAAGGCTGGCTGCCTAAACTCCCCCAGTCCCAACCAGATTCCACTGGCATCTTTCTGAGCTCCTCCCATCTCCATGCTGTTAAAAAGGGATGAATTTTTCTAATATTAGTTCATTTTCAAAAATTTTATTTATTTTTCAAGAAAAATCTGCCTTCTCTCCCTCCCAGCCCCACCCCCTCTGAAAAAGAAAAGAAAAACAAAACCCTTAGAACAAATAGGCAAAGTCAAGTAAACAAAGTTCTAAATTGGCCCTGTCCAAAAAAGCAAGGACTCCTGCCCCCTGAGTCCATCACCTCCGTCCGGGTGTGGGCAGCACTTTCCATGGTGAGTTACAAGGAATTGAGGTTGGTCACTGAGTGGATCAGTCCATAAGTCTCTCAAATTCCACATTAGTTTATGAGATGTGGAGTTAAGGGGGTAGGAGAGAGACAAAAGGAAGCCTTGAATACAGAAGACAAACCAGGTTGACTGTTTCTATTATCCACAATGTGTATGAGGATTTTCAATTTTTAAAAAATTGGTTTTTCTGAGGCAAGGTCAGGAGGTCTTTGCTTCATTCTGTCTGAATCTCTGTTTTATGCTGGCATACTTAGCCTTACTCTCCTCTGTCATAAAAACAAATGGTAAAGAGGATAAAATAACAAGATATAAGACAGGAGAGATCAGAGAATAGTCTTTATACCCTCGGGCCAGTAGCAGAATCCAATATTTCCACTGGTCCTCTGGGAGCCGCTGTGTCTTCACTGGTCAAATGGGGATTCCTTCTACCCACCTCGTACACCCTCCCAGGCTGCAGAGGGGATCCAGTGTGCACTTTGAGAAGCGTGAACCCCATCGGGGCACAAATGTAGGGTATTACTGTTACGGTTAGCACACGCTCATCACGGATCTCACCTAGTGTTCGTTGGCTGTGCAGCCATGAATGTCACTTCACTTCTCTGAGGCTCAGACAACTCTGCAGTCACAGAATCTTCTGATCAATCAATCAATAAACATTTACGAAGCGCCTTCTGTGTGCCAGACACCGTGGTAAATGCTAGGAAAACCAAAAAAGGGGGAAAGATTCCTGCCTGTAAGGAGCTCCCACGGGGCAGACATGTGCAAACAGGCTAGAAACAGGATCAGTCAGGGGAGCTCTCGGAGGGCAAACACTAAGAAGAGGGAGCTTCTCGTAGAAGGTGGGCCTGGAAGCCCAGGAAGCAGGAAGGAGGAGAGGAGGGAACTCGGGACAGTGAAAACGCTTGGATGCGGGAGGAAGGGTCAAAGGTGAGGCCTGCTGCCTGTAATACTGCTCCACACACCTCTAAGAACTGCACTTTTAATAGATGCCGCCATACTGAATACTCCCAATCTCCCAGCTTCACAGGATGAAAAGCTTTCAAACTATCCAGAAATAATAAGAGAAATCAAAATCATGTGGGAGCACACCCAGGTGCCCATCATTCATTCCATCACTTGAACCATCCTGAGTGTGCCCACAGAAGATAAGCTTAGATTCCAGTATTTTTATATTCAACTACCCAAAAAATGGCCATTTTATCAGCCAGAACAATAATCTGTACAAGATTAAACATAAAATAACGGGAGGCTAGCAGCTCGTCCCCAGCCTCTTTCTATCTGAACGCCACCAGCAAAGGGGAGGCAGGGCGGCTGATGCCCAATAATAACAACTAGAGAGTGCACAAACAGCAATCTGAGACTCCAGTCCACAGGGCAGTCACCCTGGATGACTCTCACCGCAGAGCCCGGCACCCCCACAGTGGAAAAGTAGCTCACTTTGGTGCAGCTGAAGAGCCTTCTCCATCTTCTCGCATTTTGGTATTTTTATTGTCAGCATTTAGCACAGTCCTTGGCAAAAACACTTCAGAGATACTCTGCTTTCCTTCCTTCCCTTCCTCCTCCCTTCCCTTCTCCCTTTCCTTTCTCCTTCTCTCCCTCCTTCCATCCTTTCTTTTTTCTTCCTCCTTCCTTCCCTCCCTCCTCCTTTTCCTTCTCTCTCTCCTTCCCTCCCTCCTCCCTTTCCTTCTCCCTCCTTTCCTCCCTGTCTGCATCTGTCTGTCTCTCTCTGTCTTTCTCTTTCACAGACGCTATGTCCAAGAAAGGATCCTAATGGGTACTCTGTGGACACCCACAATGGAGGTCTCAGTAAATGAGTATATCTACTTAGTGAAACTCAGAGAGCAAACCCATTAGGACGGGACAGGGGGAAATCTGATTCTTTCTCAAGTGTTCAAATTTCACCGAGAGCTTAAAGAAAATAAAGATGATTATGTGAACCTACAAATACATGAATGATTTCTGTGAGTTCCTCCATGTGGAGAACCCCCTCTACCAATACAGATCCTAAGCCTAAGCCTAGGTAGGACTGAGACCAACTCAAGGCACTGCCTTCTACAGGAAACCTATCCTGACCATACCAACAGGATACCTTCTACCTAGAAGTTACTTTGTATCTATATTATATCTATT